TACATGACAGTTAAAGAACACAGAGGAAACTCAGTGATAGCTAAAGAGTACTTACGATATTGGGGAGAGCATGACTGCTATTTTTTTTTATTTTTGCATTTTTTATGCATGTGCAAAATTCAACAACTGTTGGGCTGGGGTTATGGCTCAGTGGTAGAGCACTTGCCTCACACACATGAGGCACCGGGTTTGATCCTCAGCACCACATAAAAATAAATAAATCAAATATAGTTATTGTGTCTATCTACAACTAAAAAAAATATTTAAGAAAAAATTCAACAACTGTTCATTAAACATTTCAGCCTGTGCCAGATACTTCCCAGGTGCTGTAGAATACAGGATTTATAAGACCTAATCCCTAACTTTTGCACATAGCACAGTTTATTAACATGGGAAAGAAAGTACATAAGAGTTTGCATTAGGTTGAGCCAAATAAGTAATGAGTTTATGATTCATTGTATATGGGCAGTTTCACAGTGTTTTATCTAATGCATATTGGAATAAAATAAGATCCATGAGAGAATACAATATATTCCACGTACATGGGGGCCAGATACCACCATAATTACTTTAAATATAATTCATTCAACAGTCTTATGATGAGCTACCATTAGTATCTCTTCATTAGAGATTAAAATAAAATAAAATACAAAGCACAGAGAAGTTATGAAACTTAAGCAAGATCAAGCAGGAGGTAAGAAAAAGAACCGGACTTAAACCAGAGGCTGCATTCTTAACCCCCTATGCTAAACTACCTCTCCTTCAGAGGATGATGTGATATTTCAAACATGCTTAAGGACAGAATTCATGAAGGATTCTTTCAGACCAGGAGAAAAGAGGTGGGAATTCTGGTGAAGGGGATACAATGCAGGGAACATAATATAGGGTGTACCTTGGACACAAAGGAGATAGGGTGGAAAAGTGCATATGATCCATGTTCCAGAACTCCGTGAATACCCGGGAAGTGAGTTTATTGGAAAGTTGTTGAAGGTCATTATAGAAAGGAATCTCTGAATTTGAGGTAAATAGCAGAAACTCATCTTGAAGCAGAGAGTAGGGTGGCTTGGAATGAGGAAAACCAGGAGGTAGGAAGGAAAATTGGGAAGTTAGAGCAAGAATCCAGCCAAGAATGCACAAGGATCCAAACCAGCAGATGGTGTTTACTATATTCAAGCTTTGTCTTACGTTTTTTTTATATTGCTAATAAGCCCCCTCCCCACAAAAATATAATCAAACTTGACAGCATGTCTCTCTGGAGCAATGGAGGGGAACATTGGTGATAGGAGGCCTGAGGGACCATGATTTGTCCTACCAGTCTATAGCAACTTGAGAAGTGTGAGTTTGTACATTGGTTGGTTAATTTACTTAGTTTGTATACCTATTTTACTATGAAAGAAAATTTAGAGGAAAAGAAAACATTTTTCCAAAGTCAAATAACATTATGGGTTGAGAAAATCTGAAAAAAAAAAGTGGTTTTTGTTTTTTTTTTTTTAAATTAAAAAGTGAAAGCCAGGCACAATTGTAAGTTCATTGGAGAGCTGTTGAAGGTGACTGATTATACAGAGGAATCTCTGGATTGGAGGTAAATAGCAGAAACTCATCTGGAAGAAGAGACTGTGAGCTTGTAAACTTTTGGGGCTTTTTTGCAAAAATTTTAAGGAATTAATTTGCTGTGCTCATCTGACATGATGGTCTTTGGGGATTCTGTCAAAGCTTTACTCTGGCCTCAGTCATTAATGTTTATGTTCAGAATATCTGTTTTTTTTTTAAAGAAATCAGATAAATTTATGCTTCCAAGTACAGTAAATGATCTTTTAATATTTCCCCCTGTTAGATATTCATTTTACTTTGAGGTGGAAATGCCACTAATCACAAAATTGACACTTTTATGGTAATATATGAAAAGTAAAAACAAAAAATAGGAGAGGGAACCCCCTCCACACAAAAAAAGATGTACAATAATCTAAAAATTTCTGTCTGTATACTTGATAAAATCTCATGAATTTAGCCCAAATGTTCATCAAATCCCCATTTTTATTTTAGGCCCCCACCCCTGCAATGAGGTTTTGTTTTGAATCTGAGATATTAAAAAAACAAACAAAGGAAAGGTATAAATTATAATTGTGTATTCTTGGCCCACTTCCTGTTGAACCCTACCTTTTTGTGTAAAATTAGCCCCATAGAGAAATGTGAGCACCTTGATGTGAGGACAGTATCTTTCTTCTCAGGATGCAAACCTACATGTTGGGTTTACCAGCAGGGAGTGTATATGTGATATGGTGACATGGCACACAGTGGCACAGTGAGGTGATGTGAACACTCGGGACTGTCACATCCGGATGATGTACTTCTGATGTCAGAGGTGGCCACATGTTCAATCATGTGCCCTGTGACAGGTTGACACACAGGAATCATTTTGTCACAGGTAATGTTTGATAAGGAAAAGCTGGAAAGGTAGACCCTTGTGTGAGGAGGTCAAGGTCCATGTGATTGATCATATATGAATGACAGTCTTCTTACTGATCATGAAGACAGGAAATCATTACATGCCAAATGCCCGGTATAGGAAGTTATTCAACACATCCACCGTGTGTCTGGGTATTTTCAACAAGATGCAAGGGTTAGGCTTCTTAAACCCTGTGACGGAAAGCAAAATGGCTTGGAGAAATCATGCTATCACTTGAGAGAAAAGCAGAAGGCATTGGATTATTATGTATGAGTGTGTGGAGGATGATTCCAATGTGATGCATGCACCATTAGCAAGACATTCTTAACTGATGCCTCCTCATTTTCCTACAGAAAGTAGCAATAGGTCATATTATCTGTTGAATGAAGGTTTTGGAATATACTAACCGGAAAAACCCAAACATAACCACTCCTTTTATATAAAACTCCTTATGGATAATTAGGGAATAGATTAATATATCTTTTGTATCTAAAACAGGAAGGTTGTAAAGAGTTTATGGTCTGAAAGAAATGACAAATGGATGACATTTGTTAAAAATTGCATCAATCCTTATTTTTGGATCATCTCCAAGGAAATGACATTTAAATCTCACATTAGAAATTTACTCTGCAACTTGTCATAAAATCCAAATTACAGTTTTATGACATTAGTATTACCAACAAAAATATCAATAGCTGAAATTCAGTTAAATTCATTGCCTTTCCTCCATGTATTGCATAACAGGGACTCTGTTATGGTATATATTTCAACTGCTAAAAAAACCTATCCCTATAATTTAATTCAACAGGTATCTGCAATGATATCAGGAATTTTTAGGCAACATATGGGATTTAGAAAGAGCATAAGACATGACCATGGACCTACAATCAATTAATTCACTCATGCAGACCACACAATCTGATGAGCTCTATGCACAATGCTACCTACATGCTAAAACATCAGGAATAAATGCTATCATGGAACAATGAACACAGTTCCACGGAAGCTAATATAATTTGGATCTGGAATATTTCGTAAAGTTTCAGCAGGGAGTGTATATGTGATATAGTGATGTTATTGGTGATGTTTTGGGGAAGTGATTTGGGAAGTTTTTGGGTCATGATGGCTCTGAACTTATCAGCAGATTAATCCACTCATGGATTAGTACTTAATAGCATTATTAGGAAATGGTGCAAACTGTAGGCAGTGGGACCACCTTGAAGGGAACAGATCCTTGGAAGTGTGCCTTGGGAACTATATCTTGCCTCTGGTCCCTTCTCTGCTTTCTGGCCATTACCAGCTAAGAAGCTTTGTGCCAATGCCAATGTCTCGGCTTGGCACTAGAATCACGAGCCACCACACACCTTTGTAGGTTCAAACAGCAATTCTTTATTCCCGCTCTCACACCGCCTCCACACAGGTCCAGGGGCAATCGCATTCTGCCTTCTACCCGCACAATTCACCTACTCCACGAGGCTATCTCCAAATCCCATTTTAATCTCACGAGAACTCAACGGGAACAAGCAGCAAAAACACCCTAATCCCAGCAATAATCTTCAACCTCCAACTTCCCTAAAACCCATTGTCTTAAACTGGCAACGCCTTAAACTCAAGGAGCCGGTTACTTCCTCAAACCTGATCATCTCTAAAGCCGGATCCCCCTTGGTCCTTGAGCAAGGTCACCTTATTAAAGCATGCATGCAATGTCCCATCGAATGTCCTCTAAGCAGCATGGGGTACGCTTGGCAAGGAAATTTCTATGTGTCAGTCCTACTTGGCAATGGCCCTCAGCATCTTTGCTCCATCAAACCTCCTCTGTCATGATATTCTGCCTTACTACAGGTCCAGAATCAATAGAACCAAGTTACCATGATAGAAACCTCTGAAACTTGAAGCCAAAATAAATTTTTCCTACTTTAAGTTGATTTTCTCAAGCATTTTGTCACAGTCTCAGAAAGCTGACAAATACAGATGCATACAAGGTAGGAAAACTGGGTCTATAGAATGTGGGGAAGTTTCCCCAAGAGCTGATGCTTGAGTTAAGTCTTATAAATGAAGAGAAGATTGTCAAAGGATAAGAGGGGAATATGTAGTGTCATTTCAGAGAGAAGAGAGAGTTAACATGAAGGCAGAATTTTGAAGCACAAGGCAATTTGGCCAGAGAGACAAGTTTAACCTGCCAATGAAATCATTAGATAAATACTTCGAAATAATAATAATTTAAAAAAGGATTTGTAAAAGCAAGCAATTTCCTCAATTTAATTAATAATTGTTGACCCATGATATGTCAATTCATTTTATTCTAACTGCATTAATTTGGCCTTACTTGATCCCTGAGCATAAGCAAAATAGAAAAATAAAAAAATCACCTTGTAAAGCAATTGAAAAATAAATCCTGAAAGAAAATAGTTTTTCTTGTTTGCCAGTAAAATTTTAACTCAATTGTCCTTCCAGTTACCAATATCCCAAATAAAATAGAGAAAGGATAGCTGTTTGAATTATACTAATACATGGAAAATATCACTAAAAGCAGTGAAACCACTGAAATTCTTACTTGTCCTCAGGCCTGGATTAACTCTTTGCAGACTCTGTGATGCTTTGCCAAAGGTAGCTGGTGTGACTGGAATGGAAAAGAAGAAAACCATTAGTCATCCCCATAAAAACAAACAAACAAGCCATCTGATGTGACCCTCTTACAAGCACACTTCAAATGATAAAATATGACCTGCTCCCTTTTGAAAACGAAAATTGCACCTATCCACTAAAAGGATCTCTTAACAACCTGAGCAAATGGAAACCTTCTGGTCTTCATTACCTCTGGTCTCATGCCTAGACACAATAGGGAACAATAAAGCAAAAATGCCTTTCTATATTATTTGAGCCTAGCTTGTGAAAATAAGGAAGAACATAAATTATTTTTTTGAAAACAGTAGGAAAACAATTCAGTCAAAAAAAAAGTTTATTTTTAGAAATAATAAAAATAAACACGTGAGCCATCCAGGGAGTGGGGGAAAAAAATGAGGGGACTTAAAAACTTGGACAAGAGAGAAATGGAACTTTGTAAGGCCAGATGGGTGAAAGTCAACTACTATAAAAGCAGTTATAATTTGATTGACACTAGTAGTAGGTTACATTAAAAACAGACAAAAATGGAAAATGATCAATGTGGTTACCATTCCAGCCGGGTTGCTTTGCAAAAATATGTGACTGTTGCCTGGGCCTGCTCAAGATGTTTCTCCAGGATTCCCCAAATCAGATCCAGTTACCTATAGGTTTTTCTTAGAGGGGCAGTGTGGCCCAGCCCCACAAAAAACACTGAGCTTTACCTCCAAGCCAGTAAAGTTATCTCGGTGATATTGTGAAGTGTATATTTGGTCTTCCTTCTGTTTCCTGACCTAAGAGCTTCAAGAATCCCTGGAATCTCTGGGGCAATAAGTGTTCTTTTAATGAGTTGACTGGTATCTGGAGGCTCCCTTCCTCAGGATGGGTGTTGGCACAGGAAAACCCGGTGATTAGAGAACTGGGACTTTTCAGTCTCTGGGAGGAGAGAGGACCTGACAGTTAAACTGATCAATAATGACCAATGATTTAATCCATCTTGTCTAGGTATTGAAACTTCCATGAAACTCAAAGGTCTGGGTTTGGAGACTTTACAGTTTACTGAACTCTTGGAAATGCTTCGAGGGCACGGACGTGCTGGACCTGCCTTTTTGATGCCTCACCCTATCCATCGGGTTATCTGGAAAGATGGTGGGATCTTTGATAATAGACCAGCAAATGTAAATAAGTATTCGTTCCTGAGTTCTGTTAAGCTTTACTTAGCAAATTAAGTAAACCTGAGGAAGGGATCAAGGGAATCCCAATTTGTAGCTGATCAATCTGTTAGAAGTACAGGTGACAACCTGTTATTTTCATTTGGTGTTTGAAGTGGGGCACCGTCCTGTGGGACTCGGTTCTCAATTTGATGCTATCTCCAAGTAGAGGGTGTCAGAACTGAACTGAATTATGGGACATCCAAAGAGTATTCGCCAGAGAGAGACGGTGCTAGTGGGTAGAAACCCCTTCACGTACTTTGTTGACCAAAGGTCACAGAAGAAGTGTTCCATGTTGTGAGGTGTTGGGGCAGGCCCCAAATGGCTATAGTTAGATCGCCTCAGTGAGGTTTCTGGTGGGCTTTGCTATGTTTTATGTTTTGTTGTTAGTGTGTAGCCAAGGCCATGAATCACCCAAGTCATGGTTAGGATGTAGTCGAGGTCAGAAG